ACACAAATCAGTTTGCAGGATTGGGGCCTCACTTTCCAAATTTCAGTTCCTGTAAGAGCTAATATGTTTTTAATGCAGGACCCTTGAGATCAAAGGTTATCTTAAAATACCAAAGACTCATTTGCGTTTGCTGTTTTAAAAGGTACTGGTGGTATTTCGAAATCCAAAAGATGCAGCTGTATCCTATTACCACTTCTACAACAAAAATCCTGGGCTTCCAAATGTCAGCTCCTGGGATGAGTTCTTTCAGAAGTTCATGAGTGGAGAAGGTACAGTTATTAGATCTTGGCATGTATAAACACTCTAGTACAATCTTCTCAACTCTTCTTTGGTCTGCAGTCCAAAAAGGGAATCTGTGATCATCATGTTAAAATTAATCCCAAATGGATTCAAACTAATGATCTGGGTTGGGGAGGCAGGGGACCTGGTGCTGAGGAGTTGAAGGTGCTTCTCTCTTCTTCAACCCTGAGCAATGCTCAGCACTGGGAGTATTGCTGTGGAGACATTCAAATGGTCAGGATGGCGCAGTATACAGGGATTCTACTTCATCCCCAGCACACAAAGGGTAAACTCCAGCTTTCCTTTTCGTTCTGCAAGGCATTATCCTTCTTGTGATTTTGCATCTTAACAACTGGATTTATGAGTGAGCCTCTCCCCCTTTGTTCTTAGCTCCTTTTTTCTCTTGCTTTCATTTGCATCTCAGAGCAGGGGTACACATTTTTGATCAACTCAAAATAAAGGTTTGGGGTAAAAATTTTAACAGTATAGTGACTTAGGAGTCTAACCCTCATTGACTTTCAGTGAGACTTAATCACCCAAAGGCCATATTTTTAAAGGCATATAAGTGCTTAAAGATGTAGATAGATGCCTAGTGAGATTTCAAAAAGCACCTAGGTACCTAATTCCCGTAGACTTCAAGCACTTTTGAAAATTCCACCAGGCACCTATCTGCCCATAATATCAATCACTTTTGAAAATGGGATTTAGGTTTTCTAAGTCTCTTAGGCACTTTTGAAAATTTGGCCCTTTATTTATAATTGAGCAGAGGTTTGAGCTACAACTGAACTAGATAAACCCCTTTCTGTAAACTGAAGAACCCTGCATTTCAAGTGAAGTTCTCTTTTAAAGGGGAAAAAGAGACTGTAAAAATGGCATAGTGGATTTTGTGCACATCTCTTTATTACTTCCAGATCAGAAGTGCTAGGCTTATAAATAAACAATGTTTTATGTAACTGCCAGCTCCTCAAATTCCATCTGGGATTTGTGAATCAAATTGGGCTCTTTCCTTCTTCAACACTGCCACCAGCGATAAAGACTCTGCAGGCTAAACTGCACTCTTAGTAACATCTGTACAACCCCACTGGCCTGTCATTCCAATTTGGCAAGCTATTTTGATGATGATGATGCACAAGATGGAATAGATTCCAGCTTGGACTCTCCTAACTGTGCTGATTTGGCAGAGTTAAAAGGAGTGAAAAGCATTAAAGATGCTTTTTATTTCCTAAAGTAAGCAGAGAGGGCACTGTATACACTCAGGGAAACAAGACCTGTTTAGTAAGAGGGTGCCTTGTTTTACATACTCATTTTACAGAGAACTGCATTTTAGCAAAATATTGAGCCAACCCCTATGTCATACTAGCTGCTCAGACACTGAGGTGCATTTCAGAGATTTTGAGAAATTGCTGACCGTACAGTACAGTGTCTACGTACAATATAAGTGAAGTCTCTTTATTTCATCCCTTTTTGTGCAGTTCTGTCAGGAAAGAGGCCAAAATCAGCTGGATCTGTCCAGCTGAGAAATCCCCTGATGTAGGCGAGCTCTCCATGGATGCAAAGCTGGCATACTTGATTCTTGTACTATTCCGCCGCTATAACCGGCACAGGGGTGGTGTCAAAAGACTAACCTTAACTGATTAATTGTTCCTTGGGGACCTTGCCACTTACCATAGGTTAGAGTAGCCTCTAGGCTGCTTGAAGTTACCTTGGAGCCAGGTCTGAGCTGGGCAGGAAATCAGGGAACCATAACCATAAGCTGCCTGACAGCCCCTGCAGCAAAAGGAGGAAATTTAATACAGCAAAGAATCTGTGCCATATTCTAGTAAACAATTATTGAAAAATAAAGTATACTTGTAGAAACTAATTGTTAATATTTTGTAAGGGCCTACCCCTGCAAACACTTAGGCATGTGAGTAAAATTTACTCACATTAATAATCCCACTAAAGTAAAGAAAATTGTTCATATGGTGAGTGTTTGCAGGACCTTAAATCTGTGGTGTTGGGGTTATTTTTTAACTTCGCCATTTCATAAGTGCAATGATAGCCTGGTTATGTGATGGATTGAATATACACACGGCTGTGTTACTGATTACTACAAAATGTATTCAAGATTTAATTTATTGTAAACAGATTTTTTTTAAAGTTATCATGTAGAAACTGTATAGCTTGATTATGAAAAAATAGTTGGAAGAAGAAAGTGAAAAGTCAAGTCTGAAGTGAATGACTTCCAAAATAACATCTGTACAAAAAAAAAAAAAAGAACTAAGTACAGAGAAGGACTAAGAACAGAACTGAAGGATTAGAAGATTTAAGCTCTCCAGGTCTTTATATTGAAATTAGCCTGGACATTTCATCTTGGGGCCATTTCAATATACTTTAAATCAGAGGTCTCAAAGTCCTGGCCCGCGGGCCATCTGCGGCCCGAGAACTTCCCCAGTATGGCCCGCGGGGCTCCAGCAATTTTGGGGCCAGGTCTCTCCCTTGACCCCGCCTGCTGCCCCTGGGCGCTCCCCCCCCCCACCCGCGTGTCCTCTGGGCGATTTAAAATGGCCCGGGGCCCCGGCCACCACCGACAGCACAGCAGAGCTGAGTGGCTTCCTGCGCTCGCTCCATGTGGCTGCCAGCCCCTCCCTGCGGCCCCGGGGCGGGGCTGTGCCTCCGCGCGCTGCCCCCACCCCGAGTGCCCCTGCGGCCAATTGGAAGCTGCGGGGGCAGTGCCTGGGGGCAGCAGCGTGCGGAGGCCCCCTGGCCTGCCCCGCCTTGGAGCCCCAGGTAAGCGCCGCACCCCCCGATCCCCTCCCAGAGCCTGCACCCCCACCCCTCCCCACATACTCCCTCCTGCCCCCAAACTCCCTCCCAGAGCATACACCCCCTCCCCACACCCCCACCCTCCCCCAAACTCCCTCCCAGAGGCTCCACCCCCTCCCCACACCTCCCCCAGCCCCCAAACTCCCTCCCAGAGCCTGCACCCCCCTTCCGAGACACCCCCTCCCACCCCCAAACTCCCTCCCAGTGCCTACACCCCGTCTGGCCCCCAAACTCCCTCCCAGTGCCTGCACCCCTCCTGCCTCCTCCCTCCCAGAGCCTGCAACCCCACCCCCTCCTCCTGCACCCCCATTCCCTGCCCCAGCCCAGAGCCTGCACCTAGCACCCAAACTCCATTCCAGAGCCTACACCCCAGGCCCCCTCCCCCACCCAAACTCCCTCCCAGAGCCCAACCCCTCACACCTTCTGCACCCAAACTCCCTCCCAGAGCCTGCACCCTTCACCCCAATCCCCTACCCCAGACCTCCTCCCCCCCCCCCAAACTCTCTCCCAGAGCCTTAGGTAGGTGGGTGGTGGAGTTGGGGTGGGCGGGTTCTGGGCAGCATGAGCGACATTATTGGCGCGCTGGGAGGATTTGAGGACTGGCACTGACCCTAAGGTAAATTGAGTGTGAGACCCCTGCTTTAAATTATCTTCTCTTTTTGACCTGTTTGTCTTAACTTCATTTTAGTCTGCTGGAGCTCATATTTTGACCATGCTCTTGCCTGGAACAAACACATGGATGAAGAGAATATCATGATCATCACATATGAAGAAATGAAAGAGGTAAATTTGTGTAGAAATTTAAAAATGGAAAAGACTTTTATTAGGTCATGTACTCAGTTCTGATACAGAATTGCTCCCTTCAGTATATTCTCAAGCATCTTGTCCCATCCAGTTTTCCCAGGCAAAACCTTATTGTGCAGAGAACAGGTATATGATGTTGCAGCCTGTTTTCCCACTGGCTACTAGCCCCTCTATCTGCAGCCCAATTCCCTCCTCAAGCACGAAAGCCTTGATCCTGCAACATTAGCACGTGCATGAGAGTGGTCCCATTGACTTCAGTGAGACTGTTCACATGCTTAAAGTTAAGCATGTCCATGTTTGCAATTTGAGGATCTTAAACTGTAAATTCTCTGGGTTAAATAATGCCAGTGCTTATATAGAACAATACTAATTGATGTGGCTAGATAAATGTTATCAGTAGTAATTAATACTAAAAGAAAGAGATCCATGCAGAAGATTGAGAGCATTCACTTAACACATTGCCATTTGGGCAAGGGAGGCACATTCCAAAATCTTATCAAAAGTAACCACCATTCCTGCAACCTCCTGCTGCTGAACTTAATATATTCCTCTAATGTTCTGCCCTTTGTATGGATGAGAATAGTATCAACTACATTCATTTGACAAGATAGAGGGGAAATGTCTGACATGTTTGCTTTAACTCATACATAACTCTATCACATTCTTGTTTTTCAGAACTTACTTGGAAGAGTGAAACAAATAGCTGAATTTTTGGGGTTCTCTCTGCCTGAGGAGAAGATTCAGTCTATTGCAGAGAATGCCACATTCGAATCAATGAGCAATAAATCCCAAGAAAGACATGGCAAATTTAGTTCCATAATTTTCAGAAAAGGTACATTTATATAGAGTGATGATAGTCATAGAGTTTAGAGCAGGTATCCAAATTGGTCATGGGAGCTAATTAACATTTAAAAGGCTTGATAAGATACATGACTGTTGTGACCTTTTCAGGAGCTCCCAAATGCAGAATTAATGTGTTTAATTCATAGCTGATAATGAATTTTCTTCTCTTGAAAGTGGACATCCCTAGCTAGATGATCACTCAGGCACTGAATGCTGTTCTTTCAAAATGTTAGCTCTGTGGAAAATCCCTTGGTTGTAAAAGGTGCATGCATATATACCTGCAAAATGTAGTGCAAAGGGTTTTCTTTAACCTAAAATTTTAAGAACGCCATCCACATCCATAAAGATTTCAAGCCTCATATTGATTTGAAATGTGGCAATAAGTTCAGTCATTCCAACTGTTTGTGTCAGTATTTCATTGTTATCTACCTCTACCTGACATGTGATTTTATACTTCCAGGAATAGTTATTAGTTTATTTCATTGTTCTTCTGCAGGTACTGTTGGAGATTGGAAGAATCTGTTCACTGAGGCTCAAAGCCAAGAAATGGATGCCAAATTTGAAGAATGTTTAGCAGGAACAAAACTGGGAGCCAGGCTAAAATATGATAAATACTGCAAATACTAAATCTTTGACTATCAGAATGACATTAGCATTTACTCAGAGACATCATCTATTTTACTACCTTTTGTTTGAGAATGCAGAGATTTAAATAATTAGACTTTCACGCAAAGATTTGCACACAAAAAAACAAAAAACAACCAAACCCGAGATACAATAAATAAGGCTAGTGGTCCAAATACTGCCCATCTGTGACTTATTTAGACTTAGAATCTTCTGTGCATAGTGGCACATGAGGTAACCCACTTTTCCTACTGCTGCCTGTCCAGAGCAAGATGTTTGATTCAATTGTAAATTGTCTCCATGATGGCAACAACTTTTGCAATTGTCCTGTGATAGATCATTTTTTATCCTTCATGCCTTCTCTTCCCTCCAGGTGGAATCCAATATAAGGCTATGGCTACACTACACAGCTTTTAGCGACACAGCTGCGCTGCTAAAAGGCGCGCAGTGTAGCTGCTGTTTGTCAGCTGGAGAGAGTTCTCCTGCTGACAAAAAAATTCCACCCCCAACGAGCGGCAGCAGCTTTGTCGGTAGGAGAGTGCTCCTGCCGACAAAGCGCTGCTCACACCGGCACTTTTCGTAGGTAAAACTTTTGTCGTTCGGGGGTATGTGTGATTTTTTAACACCCCTGAACGACAAAAGTTTTGCCAACGAAGTTCCATTGTAGACACAGCTAAGATATACCTTGTGCTTCTGCCTTGAGGTAGCCTGATGACATTGCCAAACCACCATAGTCGTCTATGTTTAACTGAGTCCACAGTCTGTTGACTCGAGCCGTACAACACTTACATTGGAGAGATTGTGTAACCAATGAGTTTCCAAAATTCTTCTCAAACAAAGCTGGGGAAATGCATTCATCTTTCTGTTTGTATACTTCCAACATCTGCCACTTTTCTGACGCGTACAGTAGTGTCGGAAGGGTACAATCTCATTTCAGTGTGTAGATGTATCTTCTTACTTTTCCAGGTGTTTGACAAATGAGAAAATGTTCCACTTGCTTGCCAGTTCTTTCTTTCAGTTCTTTAGTAAGCTAGCCATTAGAAGATATTGTACTTCCAAGATAAACAGTCATCAACTCTTTTGTATTTTTCTCCATCAATTGCACATCTGCCATTGTGGACAGTATTCTCTCCTATCTACATAATCTTGGACTTCTGCATACAGATACCAAGTCTCACTTAGGCAGCTTCTGCTTTTATGCTCATAACAAATCTTTTCATTCCATCCATGCTGGTATCCGGTATGACTGTCATCTGTTAAATCTAGGTTCTCCAGCTTATCTCTTGCTCAAAGAACAGCAATAACCTCAGCAACAACCATCACTCTTCTCATCACAAAAAGGAAGTTCAGAAGAGAAGTGGGGATAGTATGCAACCTTGCATTACACCAATAATAATCTTAAACCATTTTATTTCTTTGCTAATTTGATAAAAACTTTGTAGGCCAAGTCTGCAGACAGCACCAGGACAGACAGTAATCTATTCTGGAATGTCTCAGGATCTTCCAAAGGGCTTCTCTGTGGACACTATCGGGTCCTTTCATAAAATCAATGCAATTTAAAACTGTTTTCTGATGGTATTCTAAGCCTTTCTCAATAAGTCTTCTCAAGGTGAAAAATCTGATTTGAACATAACTTTTTATTGAAATCTAGCCTGTTCTTCCCTGAATACTTTTTCAACAACCATTTCATCCTATTCAAAATGATAATGCAAAACACTTTTTCAGGTACAGATAGGAGTGTCACTCTTCTCCAGTTATCACAAATAAACTGGTTCCACTTTTCAGGGATTATACAGATAACGCCTCTTCGTCAATCTTTAGACTAGATCTCCTTTTCCCAAACCATTCTGCACAACCTTCACATGTAATTCAAATCACTTTCTTTTCAGCTTTTAACATTTCAGCATCTATTTTATTATAGCCTGGTGCTTTACCACTCTTCAGTTGGTTTATGGCCTCAGTTATTTCTTCAAAGATGATTACTTCTAGTGATATAGGTAAATCCACTATTTCTTCACATCTCTCAGTGTACGTTTGTGGTTCTGGCTGGCTGAACACAAATTAGAAATGTTCCATCCACCAGGCACCTTGTCATTCCTCTGTGGTTTAAAATCCTACCATCTCATGTCTTCACAATGCCACAGTGGTTTGAGAATTGTGATGTCAGTCATTTAGATGCTAGAAAAAGTTTTCTGTACACCTCCTTAGCTTGTCTTGCTTTGTTTTCCAGCCATTCTCTCTTTTCCCTTCCAACTGATATTTTAACATTTTTGTGTTTGACCACATATTTTTGTTGTAGAACAACTCTTTTGCTACTGTCTCGTTCCTGTTGAATTCTCTTCTTTAATTCTTTCCTCTCTCCAACAAGTCTCCATGTATTTGGTTGGAGCCACTTTGCTTTCTTAGACTTTCTCATTCCCACTATAATCCTGGTTGCATCCACATGCACTTCTTTGTAAAGCTGCCATTGTTCTTCTGTCATTGGTCAGTGTATGTAACTCTTCGAATCTGTTGTTCATCTGCAGCTTGAAATGCACCTTCACTGCTGGATGTGCTAACTTTCTAGTATCATACATACCCTCTGCCTTGCCTGGTGCTGCCTTCTTTATTTTTATTTGGATCATCCCAATAACAAGATGGCGTCACTTCCAACATCAGCACTCTTATACTGTTGGAAGCTAGGGTGTGATCTTTTTCAGCTCCAAATAATGGCAACATAGTCTAGCTGAGGGGAAGTCGATTATTTTTTGTCAAGGTATAATCAAGATCTGGACTCTAGAGAAAATAACAAAAATAATAACAACAAGTAAATAAAAAGATTTCGGGGTCTGTTCAAAAGCATCTGGTGGTCCAGATTTGGCCCGCGGTCCGCCTGTTGACTACTCTAGTCTAGCTATTTCTGGGTGAAGCCATCATTTGATCTCCATGTCAGTTTTGTCTTTCCTTTGGGGCAACATTATTTCCACACATCTATATGGGTGTAAGAGATATTTGGCTGAATATGCAGAACCCATGAATGGTATGCTAGAGTGCCTATGACTATTTCAGTTTAATTTTTTTCATAATCTGTTATTAATTCAGGTTGATTCCTGCTCCAGATCCAAATTTTCTGAAAGTCCAAGGTTCTTGAGCATCCTGGGGTCTTGCTTTGGACTCATTTCTCATCTTCAGTCGTTAATTTGGTCATCTGTGTATCCTCTATTCTTTGAGGCCTTGTATGAAATTCTTGTAGAGTCCATTGATTTGATGATAAATCATCCTGGCAGAAGGTTGACAGGAGAATGCATCAAGGGTTTTGTACTAGCTCCAATGATGTTTAATATAATTATTAATGATCAGGAAAGATGAGTGAGTATGAGGTAGCAAAATTTGCAGATTGAACTAAGTTATTGATGTTAATGAAGACCAGAGAGGACCGTGAGGAATTTCAGAGACATTTAAACATGCTAGGTGAGGGGGGAAATGAAGTTTAATATTGATAAATGCAAAGTAATGCACACTGGAGGAAAAAATTTAAACTAGTCACACACATTACAAAGTTCTTAATTGTATTAATGCAGGACAGGGACCTGGGTGTCATTCTAGACAGCTCAATGAAGACCGCTGCTGAATGTGCAGGTGTTTTTATTTAAAAAAAATGCAAATATGAGGATATGTATGCAATGGAATGAAGAATAATATGGAAAATATTATAATGCCCTTATATAAGTCAGTTGTGCAGCCTCATCTGGAATATTGTGTGCAAATACTGGTCACCCTGTCTCAAAAAAACATATTGCGGAATTAGAAGGGATTCAGAGAAGGGTGCAAATGATGATTAAGGACATGAAAAATCTTATCTGAAGAGATTGGAAAGGTTGGGATTGTTTACCTCAGGAAGGAGTATATAAAATAATGAATGGCCTAAAGATGGGAGACCTGGCCCTTCTCTTCAAGCTGTCCTGCTATGCATGGCTCAAGAGTGTGAATACCACCGTCTGGGCAGACTGTTAAGAACCAGGGCACAAACCCCAAATTGGTTGGGAGTTTTATACTTAGATTTCACCAACCAATTATCAAGTATACACTCCTCCGGCACTATAACAGCCTTAGCATGGAGTAACAGACAGTATGCCGATCTATGTTGCAATCCAGGTAAGCTTACATTTGTGATCGATGGTCCCTTACACCAAAGATCACAGCAATATTCATGTTTCTCCCAGTCCCAAAGGACCAGTCACTTTCCCCAGATCAATTACACCTTAGATCTTACACCGAAGAGAAAGCTTGTAGTCAGTGCTATAGTAAACTATCTGAAGATTTATTATATAAGAAAAGGAAACGAGTTATTTACAAGGTTAAAGCAGGTAAACTGATATACACACAAATGAGTTACAATCTTAAATTCCAATAAGTAATAGAAACGTCTAGAATAAGCAAGCTCTGTGGGTTTACCCTAGAATAAAAGACCCATGCCATGATCACAGCAGGCTTGGGTCAGCTGACGGGCTTGGGCTGCAGGATTAAAATTGCTGTGTAGACGATCAGGCTTGGGGTAGAGCCAGAGTTCTGGGACCCTTCCCCATCGTAGAATTATTGTATTATAAACACAAAAACTTAATTATTACCTTACAATATGGACTACAGATGTTATAAATTAGATTAATGAATGCGGCAATTTACCACTATTCAATAAAGTCTAAACACTACGCACATTTTTATAACTCTAATATGTATTTTAACAATACTAACACACAGGCAAACCAGAGCGATTCCGGCTATGTTCTGATCAGTATCCAAGTGAGGCTTGGGGACCTTGGCATGAGCTGACACCTGGTTTGCTAGCATCACACTTCTGTTTCCCTGTCTCATAAGAAAAGGACAGTGGGAAATTCAATGAAATTAAAAGGTAAAAAATTCAAAACTGATCAAAGGAAATC